TGACGCGTCTGCCTCCGCGACCCGAAAGGAGAAGCGGCGATGGAAGATGAAGATGAAGAAGATGAAGATAGGAACATGATGCAGATGCGTGGTCACTTCGATTTTTTAAATCCGTCTTACATCTCTTGTAAGGTATGTACGATGAGTAAAGTAGAAGCTGCTGTGAACAAGCAATGTTAAAAAATGTCATTCTTCTTGCATATGGCTACAACAGATACAGGTTCAATTCGAAACTGGATAGCAGATTTAAAGAGCTACCCCCAGTGGCTTGTCCCACTGGCGGGAATCCATTTCAAGTTTCAGCGTTTCATACCGAGTGACAGCAAAGTCAGCTGCCTGATAAAAATGGCCGCATCGAACGCAAGACTATCGTCTAGAACAACTTGTAGAGATGATTCGCGGTTCTTGCATACCGCGCGGATTTAGATCAAATTAGTCTGATAAGCGAAGTATAGCAGGGCATGCCAGCACCAAGTAGCCAATCCAAAGCCAGTTGTATATATATATATAAAACATATGGTGGTGGATCTATGCAAATCTGCACAAAAAAAGGAAACTCTGAGTGCAATCCAGATAAAAGGATTCAAGGCAAGGCTAGTACCACTTGTTCAATAGGATTATGAGACTTTCTCACAATCATTTCTATCATCCATACATTAAAAAGCAAAAGAAAGAGACAAGTATGGATGTCACTTGAGCAATACCTTGAGTGGCTTCATGTAAGGATCTTTATACCAAAAGTACAGTGATATTAGTCGATGAGTCTTCGGAAAGGGTACTGGTAAGGAAACAAAAGGGTCGAAGGTAACCGATTCCTAAAAAATCAATGCCATATGCAAAGCAGTAGCTCTTCCACGAAGCGAATACCCGAAAACACTCGGGACATCGCAGATGGGACTTCAGTTGGCCATGAAAAAGATCGACGATTATCGAATCGTTGCGGGCCAGATGGTTTCTCCATGATTTTTCAGCAATGACCTAGAATTCTGCTAATTAGTGAGTAAAATATCATAGCAGTACAATACCTCATCTGGAAGTCCATCAGATTCGATCGTTTCCGTTGTGCCTTTTGTTACAATTCGATTGAGGTCTTCGTGCAAACCATCCAAAAGAAAGGTGAGAAATTCTTGAGCGTCATGCTGCGCGTAATTCGCAAACTGAGTTGCCTTCTGACCAATCAACTTCTGAACATAAATAAAAATCAATTACCAAGGTACCGAATGTCACTACCTCAATGAACCTAATAATCTACATGAATGCCAAATTATACATAGCTCAATACATCCAAAATCACTTTCTTAATATATGGTTTGTGATATAATATATTAATATATTCATGCTAAATCAACGATGACGCCATCATAAAAGGCTAAATAAAATACTCTTATATCAGTCGGAAGACTTGAAATTAGACAGCTGTGAATGGTTCATACTTCACTTAACGAAAAGTCATAACAATTAATAACAAACAGCTAGTAACGTCTTATAAGTTTAGGGCATTTCTTCTGACTCATTACAAGTTACAGGTTGCTCAACTGTTTTTCCCAAACTATCCTCAGCATCGACAATGAGAGAAAATTTATAGATAA